GCCACCATCTTGGAATCCTCTCTTCCCTGGAGATTTGATGCACCTTTTGCAAAATGCTGACCTATGCTTGGATGCCTTTGTTGGGTTGAAAGTCTTTAGGAAACCTCAGTGCAACCTGTGCTGTTCTTTGATCTGTAGTGAGCAGAAGGAAAGGTTCTACATGATTACCTGTCTATGCTCTGGGCAGACAATTAGCTAGCTTGGCCATGTTGTTAGTATTGGTGGCTGGAAAGTTGTCAGAACAGTGAAACTTTAAATGAAATTATAAACTCCTGGAACCCTTAGTGAAATTCTGCATCCGTATATTCTAAGCAAATTCCTTTCTTCTCTGTAATTTCACCTTTTGGAGTAGTGGCACTTGTCTCGGTTACTTTTCTATTGTTGTGAAGAGACATCATGAGCAAAGCAAGTCTACAAAGGAAAGCATTTGGAGGCTTATGGTTTTAGATGGTTAGTCCATGATCACCATTGTGGAAGGCAGACAGGCATGACACAGGAGCAGGACCTTGGGGCATTACATTCTGATCTGCAGGCAGATGAGAAGGAAGAGAGACAGAAAGACAAGAACAGAGAGACAGAGACAGAGAGGCCCGCTGAGCCTGGGCTTGGTGTGGGCTTTTGAAACCCCAAAGCCCATCTCCAGTGACACACCTCATCCAAAAAGATCACAATGCCTAATCCTTCCCAAACAGTTCCACCAGCTGGGGACAAAGCTTTCAAATATATGAGCCTATGGAGCTGTTCTCATTCAAATCACCATATTCATCCTCTTAACCATATTGCATACAAAAAATGTAAACACATGGCAAAAGCTCTCAGTGATGACACCAATGAAGTCCCCCCTCCTGTTGCTGCAGTCCGCCTGCAGACTCCACTGTACCAGCTGCTTCCGTCTGTCCTTCCCATTCATCTGTTTTCTGTCACCATTTGCTTGTGTAGCTTTTCTTTTAATGTGGTTTTGTGTGTTTGCTATACGGGTTTGTCTTCTCAGTTTACCCTCAGGCACAATGAGGATGGGCATTACAGTTTGTGTTTCTCTGTTGTTTCACACTGCATTCAAGAGAAGGGAAAGAAAAAATGCTCAACAAAAACTTCCTAAGTCCAATAAAGTAAGAAATAATACAACAGAGACAGGCCAGTTGCAAAGCTGATTGGTGAATTTCCTGAAGGCCTCTGTGAACTCCTGTAATTTGTATGCAGACATCCTATTTTCCTCGCTAGGGTCCACTGCCATTCTGTCGCTAGTCCAGTCTTCCTGCATCACAGCTTGGTTCATCAGGGCCTAAATTAGGGTACTAATGAAAACAAATGTCCTGAAGCGGACCTGCACGTCTCCCTATGTATGTGGAAGGCAGTCTTCACATGATCTGAAGAATGAATACTACTTATCCCAGTGTCCGGTTGCACAGCATCTTCTTTGCAATTTACGTGCAATTAATTAGCAAAGGTATGTGCTGCTTATTTATTAATGCCTGCTTCACTCTGAAAGCAAAAACTAAACTTGTTTTGGTTTGCTCTCCTTCCTCTATTGAAATGGCATCTCACTATGCAGCCCACACTGATTTAGAAGTCACAGTCCTAAGTGCTGGCATTACAGGTGTGGACCTCCTCGTCTGGCTTACCTGTCTACATTGTGTACTGTACTATATTGTTCATTGTCCTACTGCACTAACCTGCTTATAACTGCTAATCTACATTCGTCTAGACTGTAACCTATGTAGGCATAAATATATACTTCGGGTACCCTACCCTAAATATACATATAAATAACCGCCTTATTTAATTTGAATGGCACTTCTTTGCCTTCTGGTGAGTTGAAAATTAATTCTCCTTCAACTCTCCAGTCTGGGAGAAGCTAACACCATCCATTTTTTTTGCTTCGACCAATTACAGTTTCCAGGATCCACTGAGACTTTTCTACCACACAGCAATGATCTGAGAGCACATTCTCTTCTGGTGATGTTTATTTAGCTGCAACTTGAAAACTACTTTGTGAACTGTTTCTAATTGTTCCAAGAGAAGACTTAGGTTTCAATGACAACTTTTTAAAATCAATACATTCTGTGTCACATGAAGCAAAGATTTTTGTTTAGCAAAGACGTTGCTGCAGTTCACAAAGCACCATATATCCTGAAAAAAAAAATGGTATAAAGTAGCTGTTCTATGTAGTGACAGAACTGTCTCTGAATTAGCATGTCTCAAAAGAATGAGCGCATATATTCCTTTAGCGAAGGTGCCTGAGCGATGGATGAAGAGTGAGCACTTAAGCTCAGCAGTGAGAAGGTGACATGTTTCCTACTTTATTCGGACACTAAGTGAAAGCCGTTGTGCAGGTCGATTGCAGAGGCAGGAAGAGTTCCTGCATACGCATCAGGCATTTATTGAGTTTTTAAAACTTGAAAACATTGAAAATCAACCTTTTAAATACGAAAAGATATACAGAGGTATATTTTTGTAGATCACAAACATAGAACAAGTAAAAACATGGAGGAGTTTACGGTAGGTGCAGAGGTGACAGATGAGTTCAGAGGGGTTAGAAAAACTAGAGATTTTAACAGTAAAATAGTCCAGATGAAGAGAATATGGAATTATGCTTCTGGAGAGCTATAGCTCAGTGGTACAATTCCTGCCCATCAGAAACAAGGCCCTGGGCTCAATAGTTAGTACAAAAAGAGAAGGATATTATTGAAATCTTACTTTATAATCTACGAAGTTTTATCATTTTCTGTTTTTGAAGAGGTATTATTTTTTTTCAGAGATCTTAAAAACAATTACCGTTTATTATTCGGTTTCTAAACAGATATTTAAATGTTCAGCATGCTGTAACTCGCTTTGCTCTTGAATGGGAACAGGCTAGTTATGGACACTAAGTGAACTTTCTTGTTTTAACCTTAAGTCACATTGGCGTATCTGTGTTGCACATAGGGGCTCTCTTTTTATCCCATATATGCTCTCTATATCTATTTTGTTATCTTTGTTTTTATGTCCACATCACTAACAGAGGTGACAGTACTGTATCTTAGTGACTGGCACCTCTTTCTGGGGGAGGGTTAGATTTTTAAGGTGCTTTTACATCTATTTGGTTCTAACTATTTATATTATATATTTATAAAATTCTGACTATATTCAGTAAGAAATTATAGAAACATGCTCTGAACTGTACCCTGATGAGCTCAGATTTTTTTTTCTGAAGGGTTTCTATTGTAATTAAGACTTGGAGGTGCATATATTTAAAACAACAAAAACATGCTACTCCCAAGCAAAAGGTTGAGGCTTGCTGAGATGAAAGCCAGATCTAGTTGCTTAAAAAAGAAAAGCATGTAGGAAGAGTGTATAATTTCCCTACTATCTTTGGGTTTGGAGAAATGCCCAGGTTAGTGACAAAGGAAACTTCGGGGAAAAGACTCTAAATCTACCACGCTGTAAGAAAGAAAATGGAAAAATCAGATGGATAGCTTCATTTAAAAGGATAGCCAGGAATAATCTCAGAGAGTTCAAGACATAATAGCAGGATTTCTATTGATTTTCTTTTGTCTAATTGAAATATTACTATGATTTACCAATTTAAGTTATTCTTCAATAAGCAGTACTGCAGCTGTGAAGCATCAGCTACAGCCAGTCACCACGGGCTGCGTTTTGGCCTGTTTTCCTCATTCTGCAGCCATCTAGTGTAGAGTCCGTTTCTTTTTTTTAAACATTTACTCGGTTTTAAAGATTTTATTTTTCACTTTCTTATTGATACTCTGTGAGTTTCACATCACGCACCCCATCTTCCTGCCCTCTCATGTCTGTCCTTTGCCTTTGCAAGCTCCCCCCGACTCCCCGCCAAATAAAAAAATGAACAAAAAACAGAAAGCATAGAAAACATCTTATCATGGAAGCTGTAGCATGTCACAGCGGGTCCCACAGTATGTCCTCCTGTCACACATCTTCACTTGCAAATGTTCACTGCAATCAGACATTGGTCTTCACCATTAGGGCCAGCCTCGCTGTGTTGCCCAGGTGTGGTACGGGGGTCCATTGTCCCAAGTGCTGCAGCCAGCGAGGGGCAGGGACAGCTCACCTGCTCTCATGACTGCAGGGCTAGCTTTCCTGACTGCCTCAGGTGGTAAGGGGTGAGGGTGCTGGGGCCAGGTCTCCCTCACCTCAGGGCACTCTCACCCATGCCCCTGCCACCAGGACCAGCTCTACTGTGCTGTCCAGGTGAGGTGCAGGGCCCACTCTCCTGAGTGCTGCAACCGGTGAGCTGCCGGGCTAGCTCTCCCATGCTCATGAGCCCAGTGGGCAGCTTTCCCGACTGGAGGCGGCAAGGGGATGGGAGAAGAGGGTGAGGGAGGGATTACCTCTGCTCCCATGCCACTGCATGGAAGATGAGTGCTGGCAACAGCTCTCCCACATTCATGACGTTGGGGCTGGTTCCTCCAAGCTGCCTATGTGAGGCACGGGGCCTGCTCTCCCAAGTGCTGCCATACGGGGCCATCCAGTGAGGGGCAGGGCCAGTTCTGCAAAGCCCATGGACTATGCGCTTGCATAGTCCCTGGCAGCTGCCCTGACTAGGGACATCTTCATCTTCTCTAGTGGTAATATGAGCCAGGGGCCCTTGCCACTGTGTAGCCATGGACCCAGATATGGCTTTTAGCGGCCGCTTAGGCTGGGACCTAACTGTGGCCCCAGGTGGCAGGGCTGGCCACTCACAGCAGGCTATCCCTCTCCACCCTTCAGTCTCCAATTCTACCTCCGTTCACAATGCTCAATTTGCCCCACTTCTCATTTTCTCCCATCTGACCACCACATATTTGTGCATTGTCATGACTCCTGCTCCAGGCTGGCCATGCAGCTGTGGGCCTCTGGGTGACATCCCCCATCCACACTGCATGAGGGTGTTTAGAGCCTGTGCCTAGCCATGAAGAGCAGGTTTGTGGGTGGCATCACTGTCAGCAAGCCTCTGTCTGTTTCCCTCCTCCCACCATGAGCTGCCTGTATTTGATTTGATTTGATTTTTACATATCCTAGGCATAAAACAGTGTTGGCCACCAAGCCAGGCATCAAGCTAGGATGGACGAAGGTCTGCCATCTGGTCTGCCCCTGATGCGTATAAGAACAATATCACTAACAAGATGTCTCTCTGCCCATTGCTTAGGGTAAAGAACTTTATTTTTAATTATGCATACATATTGTGTGTGTGTGTGTGTGTGTGTGTGTGTGTGTGTGCGTGATGATATGTACAAGTGCTCTAAGAGGCCAGAGGATGGCACCAGATCTCCTGGAGCTGGAGTTTACAGTCAGCTGTGTGCTCTTGATGTGGGTGTTAGGAACTGAAGTTGGTTCTCTAGAAAGCAACAGACACTTTCACCACCATTTCACTACCATTTATCTTTCCATTTCCTTTTGTCGCAGAAACACAATTTCTCTCAGATTCATCCTTTCTGGTGTTTTCTTTCAGATGCCGTCTTGAGTCGGGGAGAACTGTTTCTCACTCCTGAATGTGCTTACCCAGACTCTGGAGATTCGGATGCTGGAGCTTGAGGTGGGGCTTTCTCACAAGTTCCTGGCAACTGTGATGCTTTTGTTCTGTGGGGCAGGGCAGCAGCTTGCAAAATCAGACACCAAGAGGTGTTTCTATAGCAATACTCTAATAAGGCTTTTCCTTGGCAGGAAACCACCAAAAAGCTGACAAGCCTAAGGTAAAGCCCAAATCAAGTCATTTGCTGCCTTTTGTTAATTTGAAATAACTTTTTGATCCCCCGCTCTGAAGAAGTGTGTTTCAGCAGGGAGTGAGGCCAGCAGGCTTGCTAGCTGCTTCCCCACATGTAATTGAGAGGAGGAAAATGGAGGAACCTGGCCTGTTTACTCGTGGATGGCGGGGAGGCACAGCTGCTTCAAGTTTGTAAGAATAAGGTGGTGACCTTGTTCTGGAGCAAAGGCAGCTAAGCTTCCTTGTTGGAATCAATATTAAAGCCTTGTTCCTTTGATCTGGACATTTCAGTACCAGACCCTGTGACTGCAATGTTGTGAGTTACCCAAGCTCAGGTGTCCCCAGCACTGTGCTCCCTGCCTTGTGCTTGTAAACTGATCCTTGGGGTTTCCCAGCTCGGTCCACTCCGTGATCCCCAGATGGAAAGTTCAGCCTCTTCCATTTCTGTGGGGAACAGTAATCAGCTGGTTGTCTTAGATCATCTTCCTCAGATTTAGCCACTTGTGCCATACCTACTTTGTGAGAAAATCTAGGAGTGTTCCTTACTTTCTATACTCTGAAACAATTCGCATAGAATTAGGGCTATTTGATGTTGGAGGTCATGTGAGGTCAACTGACTAGTTGATGCACAGATGAGATCACTTCCGCCTATGGAAATTAGTTGACCTGAACTAATTATATTTAATGAATGAAATCTGACCAATTAAATTTGCTAGGAAATTACTGTCATGTCATCCTTATATTGTTTTATGTAGTTGTATAAAATTATCTCTCAAAATAGTCTCTAAAGCATTTTTACTGGTCATTTCTTTTGTGCATATTTAGGCAAGTTATCTCCAAGTAAATTAGTAAGCTATTCCCCCTAAAACAAAGCACTTTGATTTATTTTTCTATTTCCTCTAATAATTCCCTTATTTCCTCCCCTTTTCTTTCCCCACTTTTCCCTTCCACCTTCCTTCCCTACTGCTTACCTTGTTCCTTTTCCCTAGGATTTTGGGTTGACATTATAGTTCCTGTATTTTTATACTTTCATTTCTATTGATACAGATGTTGATGGGTATGCATTTCATTTCCTTGTACGTAAAAACAGACATTTATTTACATGACCCACATAGACAGACTGGCAACTTCTCTGAGTTCACCTGCCTTCCCTGAGCCTACTTGCCTTAGAGAGACTTGTGTCTTGTTGGAAGCTGGAGATTCTGGAGATAAGGCTGATGATAACTGAGGAAATCTCTGTGATACTGAGTTGGTTGCAGTTCAGTCAAACTTGGCCCATCTCCACTGCTTCAGACAGTAGCTATTCAATCTCATCTTCACAGTGAACTCCACAAAACCAGGCAGAAGTCTTTGCAGGGAGGATGACCCCCTCCCCACATCCTAGCCTGTCAGGGTCTCTGTTAGGTCAGGAAGGAAGGCTCTAGGCAAGTTTCAGTACTCCTCCTTATAGCACAGCAGCTTCCACACACACAGAGTGGGTTCTACCTGCGTGAGTCAGGCCACCTGGATAGGTCATCCCAGGCTACAGACATCTCAAACCACTCTGTCAGGCTGAAATGCCCACAAGGTCAACGATCTGAAATGTAGATGGATGTGATCCTTGAGAAATTCAGCACCCGGATGATGCCATGCTCCGGATAAAATGCACACACAGCTCCAACTCAGTGAAGCAGGCAATCTGGCCTGACTTTCAGCTAGTACTCTCTGAGGTCCTGGCATTGCGAGAGGTGTGGTCCTTTCAGTGCTTCTCGGCATGTCAGATTTCACTGTAGTCAGAGCTTCGATTCCAGGATACATAAATTCTTACCCATAGCAGCAGCACTGAGGAGCAGTGGTCAGTGCAGAGGGCGCCAAGACCTTGAGACAAAATCCTGATGATGATAATGACAAGGATGATGGTAGCAGCTGCTATGTTTCCCAGAGGCAAACCTGCTCCTGTAATTTATTTCTACTTTTATTTTTGTCATTTTTCTTTCTTGCACTTGCTTGTGGCATACATTGATTTGGGGTTGGTATTTTAATTACTTTTTTTTTTTTTTTTTTTTAGTTTTGTTCTTCCACTTACACTGATATACATGCTCATGGCTTTGAATTTTCCTATCGGCAAAGCACTCTCACGTGTTGATTTTATGATCATTATTTTTATAGGTAATTTGAGCTTCCATATAGTGTTTCTCATTTTACCAGGTGCTTAGTAGGGAGTTTCCGCATTTTCAGTTGGAAAAGGCACTTTTTCATTTTCCATATTACTTTCCATTTATATAGTCAGAGAATAATGTTTGGAATATTTCTGCTTTATAGATACTGAGACTTTCTTTCTTTCTATTTATTTATTTATCTATTTATTTATTTATTTATTGTTTTTTTTTTTTTCGAGACAGGGTTTCTCTGTGTAGCTTTGGCTGCTCTGGACTCCCTTTGTATGCCAGACTGGACTCAAACTCACAGAGATCTGCCTGCCTCTGCCTCCCAAGTGCTGGGACTTCAGACGTGCACCGTCGTGCCAGGCTGAGACTTTCTATTTGATAAAATGTAGAGTTAGTTTATATAACTATACCATAGTCATAACATTTTTCTATCACATTTTATTTGTTTCTCTCTCTCTCTCTCTCTCTCTCTCTGCCACAATGCATATGTACAGGAGTTGGTTCTTTCCCTCTGCCATAGTGGACTTGGAAATCAAACTCAAGCTGTCAGACTTGGTAACGAGTATTTTGTTCTGTGAAGCATCCCTCCCAGTAAAAGGATGTATAAGTTTTTACGACACATTTACAGTATACTCACTGGCACTTCCTCGTTTATTGGGTAGTAAGTGATTAATATCCTTTCTCAGTTTTCTTTGCTTGCCTTTCTCAGCCTGGGTCTGCTGTTCGAAGAAGCAAATTATTAGTGGGTTTCTGACCCACTAATTTCTTCTGGCATTTCCTGGAGTTTCTGTGGTGATTGCATTCCTGTTATTTAAAAACACCATTTCCAAGGGGAGATAGAAAGACCTGGAGGGAACAGGACTTCCACAAGGAGAGCAATAGAACCAAAAATCTGGGCACAGGGGTCTTTTCTGAGACTGATACTCCACCCAAGGACCATGTGTGGAGATAACCTAGAACCCCTGTAAAGATGTAGCTCATGGCAGCTCAGTCTCCAAGTAATAGCCCTGGAGTGTAGTACATATGATTGAATCATATGTATGTATGCATATAGCAACTATAATGGTTCATTGAAAATATATGTCTTTTATCTTTCAGCACTTGCTCTGAAATGTTTCCATCTCTGTACCTCGCTGAGAGCAAGCCCATGTGTCCTGCACTCCAGGGCTATTATACGACTCAAGCTGTCTTCTGTCTCTTTGAGTTTGTGGGCACAGGTGGCATCTGTGTGGTTTTCAGAGTTATGAAGTGCTTCATGAAGCACAGTAAAATACAGCTGCTCTTCCAAAGGTTCTGGGTTCAATTCCCAGCAACCACATGGTTGCTCACAACCATCTCTAGTAAGATCTGGTGCCCTCTTCTGGCGTGCAGGTGTACATGCAGGCAGAACGCTGTATGCATAATAAACCTTAAAAAAACAAAACAATGCTTTTGGAAGGGGAGCTGGTTTGTTTTCTTGTTCTGATTTTCTTTTGTTTTTTTCTCCCCTTTTAAAAAATTCTAGCTTGTTTTTTGTTTGTTTTTTTTTACTTTTCTTTCCCGCTGATGTTTACAACATGTGTGCATCCTGGGCCCAGTTGCTGGGCTCTTCTGCAGAAGCCTCGATCTTCCCTAGCCTACAGGCTACAGCCTACAGTCAACAGCCTATTGTCGCCAGCCTACTGCCTCTGTTCCCAGCACTGGCCCTCCACTTCTCCTGGAGTGGATGCTCTGGGTCCTCTAGGACCCATCCCTCCTCTCAGAGCTCTTATCCTCTTCCATTTCCACATTTATTTATTTTACTTTTAACAACTTAGTTGGCAGATCCGTAGTACTTATTTATCACATATTTGGTGCCTACATACAGCTGCAGTGATTAATTTAGAATAATTAACGTATCCATCACATAACACATTTGTTATTTCTTTGTGGAAGAACATTTAAGATCTTTTCCTCTCGGTATTCTGAAATATAGCTATAGCTACCTTAGAGTTCTATATAATGCTGGAACTTAAGCAACTTTTCTAATGTGTTTTCTTTATTTGTACATCCAATGGTAAATACTTAAGTTGCTCCACTATCTTGGTGATTGTTCACAGTGCTAAAATAAACATTTGTGTGCGTATATGTCTTTCTCATACTGATTTCCTTTCCTTCGGCCTGATAGCCAGTGGTGGCATTGCTTAATTTTATGGAGTTTTTGTTGTTGTTGTTTTAAGATTGAAATCTCTGAATTCTCTGTCTCCTGTTATTCTGTGAACACGGGTTATAAATAATTGTATTCACTGCCTTTTTGGACCGTATGATTTTTGGAGAATATGAG